AACATTTTATGAAACAGTTATGGAACATTTTATGAAACATTCTTCACTTATGCTTCTTCTAGACTTTTTCTCACTCACTTCACCTTCTGATGTGAGCTAATTATGCTTAGCTTCTTAGCCCAAAGTGGTTTCTACATCTCCTATCTCATGATGGGACGCTTGGTATCTGTGGTCCTGCAGAGAATTTAGAGCAGGGGAGGAGGAATCAAAGGGAGTTTTTAACTAAGCAATGAGACCCACTATTGGTAAATGATGTCCTGGAGCAGAGGGGTACACTTGTTTAGACTGAGTGTGATGCAGTTTTTAAAGAGAAGAGTCAAAGAAGAAAGAGATGGAAGCTAAACAATATATTTCCAAAAAAGTGGTTAAAAATAATATAATGTGTAAGAAATCAGCAAGACACAAAACAGGAAGCAATAGAAAGTTAGAATTCAAATTAAATTTATATTCAGAATAAATAATTATTAATACACAGTTTTTACAATTGTATAATTGATTCTCAACCACAATAGAAGCTTTGCAATAGAAAAGAAATACCTGCCATGCCTTCAGCACTGGAGTTTTCATGTTTTGACCTTCTTTATGTGTTGTCCTCCTGGATCTGGATAAAAAGGCAGTATTAATGGCCCGTGCCACAGCCCAGATTATATTGTAAATGAAATAGCTGTCCAGAGTCAGGATCGGATCCATTTCCCCTTTCCTCAGAGTCTTTAGGTCTTCTCTCTGCCTGCACCTTCTCCAGACTTTCACTAAAAAGGCAGCCTTAGTGTAGGAACACAGGAAGGATTTCCTTGCAAAGCGTCTCATGGAATAAGAGAACTTCATATACCCACCATACTTTGCTCTTTGATTTTTCTTCATAAGAAAGGAAAAAATACTATGGAAATATTCAGTGGGAAAGTAGCTATCTGTCAAATAAATAGAGAAATCCCAGCGGACTGTGGTGATCAAGACTTTTCCTCTAACAGGTTTGGTAAGCTCTTTAAATATTTGATGCATAATTTTAACACCTACATGAAATGTGTTCATATCTGCACCATACATAAAGACATTCACCTTTCTCCAACTGAGGTACAAATGAAAGTCTACAAAGGGCTCCTGAAGTGTTGTGGGAAAGATTTGTGATAAAACTGGACAAATACCATTCTTTTTCAGCATGGAAATCAATGTCTCCATGAACCNAATAGAGAAAAGACCAAAATGATAACTAAAAATTTGAAGGAAGAACAAAAAAAAAAAAAAAAGAATTAGAAAGGGTAATAGGATTGCAAGTGAGAAAAAAAATTAAATATCTTGGAATATGTCCAATTGCAAAGTGCTTAACTATAAAAGAAAATAATTATACAAAATTAGTGCAACAAATAAAAAAAGATTCAGAATTATGGAAGTTACAACTATCATTATTAGGGGAAATAGCAATGATAAAATTGAATATATTACCAAGACTCCTATACTTATTCCAAACAATTCCAATAAAATTAGAGAAAACCTTTTCCCCTGAACTGAACAAGATTGTATTAAAATTTATATGGCAAGGAAAAAAACTAGGATAAAACTGAAAATGTTACAGGATAACAGAAGCAGAGGTGGTATGGGACTCCCTGGGTGGGAGCTTTATTATAAAGCAGTAGCGTTAATGTGGATTAGGGATTGGATTTATTTAAAAAAGAAAAGAGTATTAACACTAGAAGGTCACGATTTGCAAAAAGGATGGCATTTCTCCTTATGGGAAGAGGGGGGAAAAGAAACAAAAATATTTCCCTAGACACTATATTAGAGATTCACTGATATAGGTCTGGAACAAAATTAAGGAAAAACACTACATGAAAATACCGACATGGCTTTCCACTATTGAAGCCATGATACATTCCAATGCACTAGATCTATCTAAAATAATTAGATACAGAGAAATTTAGGAAAGCCTAAATTTTAAATGTATTACAAAAATGTATACATATTTATTAGAAGTGACATTGGAAGAAGAAGTAGTTAAAGGTTGCATGATAGTGTGGGCCAAAAAATTTGGACACAATATAGATCTAGTGGATTGGGGAAAAAGTTGGAACACAAATTATAAATTTACAAGATCATACAAAGAAAACATGTACAAAATGTTTTATTGTTGGCATTTACCACCAATGAGACTGGCCAAAATGTATCCAAACATGAATCCAACTTGTTAGAAGTGCAAAAAAAAATGCAAGGGACTTTCTATCATATATGGTGGACCTGTCTAGAAACTCAAAAGTATTGGATTAAAATTTGGAAATGGATACAACAAATTACAGAGGAACAAATTGAATATAAACCAGAACTTTTTCTGCTGGGAATAACCAAGGGGAAATATAGAAAGAAAATCAAATATATATTAATACATCTGTTGACTACAGCCAGAATAGCATTTGCCCAATGTTGGAAAGAAAGTAATATCCCCCAGATTGATTCAGTGATTCAGAAAATTTTAAATTGTGCAGAAATGGATACATTAACATTAAGATTAAAGAATAAAGTCTGAATTCTATGACATTTGGGATAACTAATATAAATGGTTGTATAACACAAATAAAGTTAATCTAGCCAAGAAGTAATAGAGGAATATATAGAACTGTAAATGAATGTATATAAATATAGAAGTGACATAAGATTGATATATACAGATATGATGACACAACAATGTTCATGTGATGATTGTAAGGTGTTACAGATGGAAAAAACAATAAAAATCTAATTCAAAAAGTCTTATTAAAAGGAAAAAGAATGAAAAGAATAGTGAGCAGATGTTCTTTATCTCTCCCCATGCATAGTTGTTACTGCAGAGTCTGGAAAACCAATGAGAAATATGCCAAAGAATACATGCAGAGAGGTCCAAATTTAAAACACTGAACAAATTCTGCCAGTAGAGCCAGAATGAAATCATATGTGCCCACAGGAAAAAAAAATACTGTCAACAACTGGTTTGCAAGTCAATGGGGAGATTGCCAAGAGAAAAACCTATGAGAATGACTATGGGGGCCTTTTTTCTACTNCTTTCTCCTGCTGTTACTCACCTTCCATGGTAGAGATGGTTCCTTCTGCACAAAGACGACAATCATAGCAGCAGATGGGCCTCCCTTCCTGAGCTACCTTCATAAATCCAGGACGGCAGCTTTCCACACACCTGGAAGGAGGCCAGGGCTGAGCAAAGAGAAAGAAAGCAATAACATTCCCAAAATGAATTATTATATATCCGAAATTCGGCGAAAGGAAAAGTTTCAGAAGCTTCAGTTGAAGGCTTAGCTTTGTAACATTTGAAGCCTATCACTTGTAGCTCATCAAACTGATTGTTGATTGTTGTAGTTTATCAGGCTGTTTGTTGTTTACCTAATTATCTTCTAATGTTTTCCACACAACAATATTTAGTTTACTTTCCCAGTGTATACTGTATATTGGAGAGAATGTTGAATGGATTCTCTGCTTTGGTGAAACAAATCATTTAAATGTTACTCCCTTGCAAGACACTTATAAACATTTAACTGGAATAGTTAAGAATATATTTCTCCTAGACACCTGAAAATATTAGCCAAGAAAATGTTTTTTCTCTGGGAAAATGAGATGGCATCCCAAGTCTGGCTCTGCCCAAATCCTACAGTCCCCCCAGGTGAGGCCTTCAAAAATAGCAGAATAAAGTCTATTACTCACCTTGTTCAGCACTTTCGTCTTTGCAATAGCTTTCTGGTTGAGAACTAACTGGAAATCCAAGGATCCTTGTCTTTCTAGGCTTCCAAATATCACTTTGTTAACAGACCTATTGGAGAAAAAGACCCAGTTCACAATGTCCAGCTCTGCTATCAGCTCTCCATTCTCATCCAAATATACCCCATCAATGCAATTATTGTAAAACTGAGAGCTTTGAAGGAAGGAATGAAGCTGGAATGGGAGAGAAAATGGACAATATTGCACAAAATATATAAAAAAATAATGGCAAAATTCCTCCAGCACAGCTGCAATGAGAAATCTCTACTGAGGAATATACATTCAAGTCTTATTAAAAGAATATGCACAACAATAATAGCAGAGAGACTGTAAAAAGTTTGAATGAATANGGAAGGTTTTATGTTCCTTGAACATAGTGGTCATTTGCATTCTTTTAGTGAGTCATTAAGTTCATTTGGAAGTTTATCTGTGTTAGCAGAGTCACCTGCAAATGGGTGTGGAAGACTGTTGAAAGGGCTGTGTTGAGAGAGGGGTGTTCAGTTTGACTATTTTCAGAGTTTGTTGCATGAATTCAAATCCAGAAAGCACACACAGATAACTGGTTCAGCTGGATTCATTAACTTCTTTATATACATAAGAATAGATGAATAAATGTACAATACCAAAAGGTGGTTCTTCCAAGTAAACACAAGGCAGGAGAAGTACAGGCAAACACATGCAGTTAGCTTCATTTTAGCAGACAAGCCCAGAAAGACTGCTAAGTTACTTCATAAAGCAGCAGAGTGCTTAAAGGTTTCTGTTTCAATTCTCTGCACAGAATCAGATCTGTTTAAGCTCCCATTGGCTGACTTAATTGCTATGCCTATTCATTGGCTGACCTTGTTCCTATGTCTCTCCCAGTCATGAATATTTTAACATGCCTCCCTTCATGTTTGGAACAGAGTGAACCAGATAACCCTTTTGTTTTTCCAATATGCCTCACAGCCCCAAAAATGGGAACCCAGGGGACTTTTCATGCCCTAATAGACTCAGGCTGCATTAGATGCTTGATAACCTAACCACAGTCCTGAAACTGGGGATCAGAGCAAAGAGACTGGCCCACATTTTTCTGGTTTAAAAAGGTTAATGGGTCCCTAGTGGGGGGAGCCTATGATATCCACCTGACTAAACCAGTGAGGCTAGAACTAGTATATCACTGGGAAGTAATTTGATGCATAATAGTCCCCAAAATTACAGATACAGTCATACTGGGACTCTCCTGGCTAGAAAAGTAGGGACCAACCATCTGGTGGCAAAGGGGTAATTACAGACTGAGGATAGCAAGGGGGCCCAACCCCCACCCCACACCCATACACCAGCAAATAGAAACACTGCCCATGCAGGGAACTCTCCAAAAGAGCTAACCAGAACAACTAGCAGCCACAAAACCCCAGGGACTGAACAGATCCCAAGGGAATATCAGAATGCCATAGATACCATTGTCAAATAGCTGCCCAATTGACCACCAGATAATAATGTTGTGACTGGCAAGACCAACCCCCAAGCAATCTAACACAAGATTAAAAAACAAACTGGTAGTAGACCCCTGGTTCTGAGACAACACATCTTGACAAAAAGAGAGGACCTAGAATGGAAGGGGACAAAACTCTATGTCCCAGAATCCCTATGCACCTTGATCCACCAGTGGACCCATGACGTCAAACCGGCAGGCCGGTTTGGGTTCCTAAAGACTTTACACTTAGCACGGATGAAACTCTTGTGGCCCAGCATAAAGAAAGATGTGGACAGTTATGTGAAAAGTTGCACCATCTGTGCCACAATGAAGAAATGACCAGGAAAAAACCCTCAGACTGCTGCAACCGGAAGCAGAGTCAACGAGACCATGGGAGGAAATCACAATAGACTTTATAGTGGACTATATTGCTGAAAACTGGGGGGAACATAGTGATTTGGACTATAATAGACCTGTTCTCCAAACAGGCCCACTTCATACCCTGCAGTGGACTATTCTCAGACCACCAGCTGGCCAAACTGTTCCTGAAGCACATCTACCACCTGCATGGAGTACCACGAAGAATTATCTCAGACAGAGGGGTCCAATTTATGGCTAAGTTCTGGAGGGAGTTCCTGCAGTCCATTGGGTCATCCCAGGGCCTTAGCTCAACTTTTCATCCAAGCACCAATGGAGGGCCAGACAGACTGAACACCATAGTAAAGCAGTACCCAAGGTGCTACGTGAACTATCAGCAGTCCAATTGGGTGGACCTCCTGCCTTTCACTGAGGATGCATGCAATAATGTTGTTCACAGTAGCATGGGACTAACTCCATTCAAAGTAGTGAATTGCATGGACTTCATCCCTATGCCTGAGTACCCAAGGGATCGCCCCTCCTCAGTCAGCTTGACCAATTGGATGTCAACGTTGAAAGCCACCTGGGAGAATGTTAAGAAAGAGCTAGCTAAAGCAGCATAAACCTATAAGAAGCAGGCAGATAAACACCAAACTCCACAATAGTCATTCCAATTGGGGGAATCTCCACAAAATATTTGAAGTTAAAACTCCCTAGCAAGAAACTGGGGCCAAAATTTATGGAACCATTCCCCATAGTAAAGATCATCAACCCAGTCACAGTGCAATTGAAATTTCCCCAACTGCTAGGGAAGATACATCTGGTATTCCATAGTAGCCTCTTAACATCCATGATCAGATCGACCCTGAGGTCACTATGGTATGAGCCCACAAACCCGTGGTCATAGGGGGCCAAATTCATTATGATGTGCAGCGAATCCTCGATTTGAAGTGGCACAGGAGAGAACTCCAATACTTAATCAAGTGGAAGGGCTACCCCTTGTCAGAGGGATCTTGGATAAAGAGTAGGAATATCCAGGTGGATCACCTTATAGCAAAATTCCACAACAGAAAATCCAAGCAGGCCTTGGTGGGGTTTCGTGTCCTTAAATTCTATACCTGTATATAAATTGTTTTTTCTTTGCGCAGGTCGCCTTCAGGTAGTGAGGGAGGCCGAATGTCAACTTGTAAAAGCATTCGAGGCCCGCTTTCAAGTTTCCATAATCAGGAGGAGGGAGAACTGACTGAGCTGTTCAGCTGCCTCGACCTAAAGCACATTCCACACATGCCTTTCTCCAGATTGTATCTCTGCTTACTGGAGGAAGCAGGAGGGTTGTGGTTGCTACAGCCTATGAACGTGCTCCGTTGGAGAATGTGATTTATGACATACCCATGGGGGGGGGGAATAGGGTCATAGGGGCCCATAAATTATGCGAGGGCACAGCTGACTCCGCTTTGGTAATTGCCAAAATGTTGCTCCTAGTAATTGGCTGGATTTCTTTTGAAATTTGAGGCTCATGAATTAATTAGTGCTTCCTTCGGAAACCTATCAGGATTGAGGCCCAAACATGGAATTGAAATGGCATTGGACACTCTTTTTCATGACTTCTGGTGAGGGCGGGATGGAGGCTGTGCATCCATGCTTGCCCTACTTGATCTTTCAATGGCCTAGGATACCAGTGGCCACAGTATCCTTCTCAATCAGCTCAGAGGACTGGGGTGGGCACCATGGTGCTGTGCTGGTTTGCCTCTTTTCTCTGAAAGTCAATACCAGTCAGGTGTGGTGATTGGTGAAGAGAGGTCCTATTCTTGGCCCCTGCTTTTCAGTTGTTGGTGGGCTTAATTATTTCTTTTCTCCTATTCAACATCTATGTGAAGCTGCTAGCTAAGCTCAACCATCACTATAGTGTGGGTTATCACCAGCTTGTTGATGATACTTAATTTTATATTTCTGCCAATAAAGAAAAAAATATTTGTACCTTGGGGTTGCAGTGAGGAGTTCTTGGTGCTCTCTGAGCTTGGTTGTTTTCTTGCAGACATTTCATTACCAAATTATCTTCAGGGATATATTTCTGCTACTGGTCAATTGATACTGGTGAATTAAATGTTGATGTGAATGTCTTAACCATGTTCCTGGAGGCTATGATGTTTAGATAGGAAAGAACAGGCTTCAGCTAAACATTGGAAGATCGAGTGGCTTTGTGTTTTGGAGCCTGCCAGTTAGAGGACTATGCCAGCTTCATTGCCAGATGGGATTGCACTGCCTCAACACATATATGTTGCGATTTCTTAAAAGAGATAAGAGTCTTTTAAGACTCTTTGGAGTCGAGAGTCA